GACACAGAGGAAGTCATGCATACAGTTCCCACATACATGACAGACACACAGTGTGTGTTAGTCTCTACGACCTGTGAAGATGTGCAAGGCCACTTGCCGGAGCGGGGTCACCCGCCAGGATACGACATGGACACTTCTTACTACGTTCCTTTATGCTCCACGGATCCGGATAGCAAATATGATCTGGACTCCGATGAGCACGGGAAGTACATCGAGCTCTGCTTCACTGCAGACATGTCCAAAGTCGTCCTGTCCGAGCAGCAACACCGATTGTTGGATGACAGCAGCGTCACAACTATGCGAGTATACGTTAGTGCTGCCTCCAAACGTGCCGTGGTCGTCAAGGAAGACGATCTACTCACGAAGGCCGACATCCAAGCAAATCCGGTCAAAGTTTCCAAAGCCCTCTACACAGAATTGAAGACTTGGCTTGACAACAAATGCTTCCAGATGACTGACTTAAGCAAGGCGTCTAACATCATGACGTCACGCTACGTATACAAATGGAAGTTTGTCAAGAACGAAAAGGGCGAAATGGAAAGGACGATCAGGTTACGCTTGGTACTCCGTGGCTTCATGGACCTTGAAGCCTTTGATGTCGAAACCTTCTCTGGCACGGCAAGGAGGTCAAGCCAGAGACTGCTCGCAAGTTCTGCTGCATGCAACAAAGCTTGGATCATCGCTTCCCTGGACATCAACATGGCTTTCTTGAAGGGACTGACCTATGGCGAGCTCGCCGCGGCAACGGGCGAGAAAGAGCGTGTGGTGTGCTTCACACTACCACCTGGGTCAGCAGCTGTCCTTCGCACACTGCCAGGCTTTGAGTCATATGACGAATCAAAGCATTGTCTCCGGTGTCTGAAACCGGGGACGGGCACGAAGGATGCTCCCAGGGCATTCTCGCTGAAGCTCAGGTCCATCACTAGGAGCTTTGGGCTACAGCCTACTTCATACGACGAAGAGTTCGAGATGAGCCCAAACCTCTTGACAGCCAAGCACGTTGATGACATCAATATGACTGGGAAGGAAGAGGCTATTGACAAGTATGTCAAGTGTGTTGAAGATACGTTTGGGAAGTGCAAACTGAACAAGCACACATACACAAACTGTGCCGTTCGGTACAACAAGACCGATGATGGGAGCGTCACTCTTGATCAGGACGAATACATCAAACAGCTTCGTCCTATCACACATCCAGAGCTCACAGGAGCTGATCCTGAGAGCAAAGCGACAAAGACGATTTCTGACATGTTCGTCAGTCTTCGTGGCGCTCTAGCCTATGCGTTGATCACGCAGGTATGGCTGATGGTCTATGTTGTCTCACTACAACGTATCCAGGAACCGACAAACATCCAGGTACGACGACTAAACGCGGTTACCAGAAAGCTACAGGCAGGTCCGAAGAAGATCGTGTATCAAGCTATGACCCCAACAGGAGAAGTCGACCTGCATAGCGATTCTGGCTATCGTCGTCTCAACGGAGATGAAGACGACGAAGTCAAAGGCTATGGTATCCGCGGGGCTAACCTGCTGAGGCGTGGCCACACGCAAGCGGGGAAACCCGTCGTGCACCTGGTGGACGCATACTGCAAGTCTCATCGACTGCAGGTGCGTTCGAGCTACTCTGCGGAAACACTGGCAGCAGCCCACAACTTGGAAGACTGCTACCCGACCATTGTAACGCTCCACGAGCTACACTCGGGACCATTGACCCCCACACAGTTAAAGAACATATTGGAAATGGGTGGTCTATGTATCAAAGTCACTCTGACTATTGATGCCGAGTCTGTCTTCAAGTCTTTGTCTAGCAAAGATCTGAAGAAGCCCACAGAATGTACTCTGCTTGGGCACATCAGCTGGATCCGCCAGATGATGGAACGCGGAATCGTGGAAAGCGTCCAATGGTGTGACACGCGGGATATGACTGCCGATGGTCATACCAAAGGTAGTATTGACCGCGCGTTGCTCCTACAAGTAATGGCCGGCCAGCAATCCTTCAAGCACGAGCTGAAGAAACATACACCGTATAGGGCGGGCAGGTCGTCTGAGGACGGCCCTGCCTCCCGAGCCAGCGGGGAAACCCGCGGGCAGGTGCGCTTTAGTAGCGAGGAAACTCGCCGGTAGCGAGGCTACTCGCGCGCCCCTTCCTTGTAGGCAGCCGCTGCTGCTTAGCACTGTTTTTCCGCATAATGTAGAAGTGCGGTACCTGCTCGTCTCCTCCCCCTCCGACTTTAAACGGAGAAGGTTAAAGGCGAGGTATAAATCGAGCATGTACCGCTGCCGTGCCTGGCTCAAGCCGGGCCCGGCCAAATATATGACTGTGCCTCACTGAGGCGCACGACTTGCATCAGAGATCGGAAAATACCTTTTCCATTGACGATGCCCATCCTATCCTTTACTCCAGATCCCATGTTTCGTCTTGCTCTCTTGCTCATGCGATATGAGCCAAAGCCTGGGATATGGCAACGCTTAAAGCGTAACACATACCTAAGCTTACCAGCTTGTTTTCGACTACAGGGCCGTCTTGCGCCATCTTGAGGCCATCTTGGGCCCCCGTGTTGGGCGCATCTTCGGGCCACCTGTGCCGTCTGGACGGCCATGTTGAGCGTTTTGGAGGCATCTTGGACGCCACCTTGGCAGTCTGGAGCGCTATATTGGGCGTTTTGGGTGCCTCTTGGGCTGTGTTGGGATCTTCTAGGGGCCTCTTGGGGGCTTTCGGGTTGTCATAGGGGCCATGTTGGAAGCCTCTTGGGCGCTCTTGGGACGATGTTGGGGGTCTGGGGCCGTCTTGGACCGTCGAAGAGCTGAAAAGAACAACATGCCAAATTCTTCCAAAACCATAGAATTATCCCAGCAAAGCAACCTAACAGCGATGCGTATAAGCATATCTGGAAGCATTCCCCTTAATATTCAAAGTTTTCGATACCAACTGTTAGAATGACAGTTGAATGATATTCAATTCTACAATGGAAGGGGGATGGAATGCTACAATGCTTCGATACCAACTGCTACAATGGAAGGGGGATGGAATGCTTGAATCGAATAGTGTTTTATATCGGCTACCGATGGACGAACAAGCCTTTCAAGCTTCAACCCAGAAAGACCCATATTGCAAATGTTATTCACTAATGGAAAGTTGTTTTCAATGATCCAATCTCGAGAAATCCAGGCTTGAAAATTGCACTTTTCAGCTTGTCCCAAGCATCCTGTGGTGTTGGGTCTCCGTTTTGAAGAGACGGTCCCCGCGTTCACTCCTCCTCCTCCCGCTGCCCCCTCCCTCCTCCCTCCTCCCGTCACCCCCCTCACTTCGGCTCACCCCTCACACGTTTCGTGGCCCCGCAGGGCGCTCCACCGGAGGCCCAAATGCCAGCGTTCGCGCGCGGTCACCGCACCCATTTCGGCACACCCCTCACACGCTTCGTGGCCCCCTAGGGAGCCCGAAGGCCCAAATGCCAGCGTTCGCATGCGGTCACCGCACCCATTTTGGCACACCCCTCACACGCTTCGTGGCCCCATAGACAGCCCACCGAAGACCCAAATGCCAGCGTTCGCATGCGGTCACACCCGTCACATGTTTCGTGGCCCCAAAGGTAGCCCCACCGAAGGCCCTAATGCCAGCGTTCGCACACTGTCACCGCGCCCATTTTGGCACACCCCTCACACGTTTCGTTACCCCATAAGGAGCCCCACCGAAGGCCCAAATGCCAGCGTTCGCATACGGTCACCGCACCCATTTCGGCACACCCCTCACACGTTTCGACGCCCCCTAGGGAGCTCCATCGAAGGCCCAAATGCCAGCGTCCGCATGCGGTCACCGCACCCATAAGCACACCCCTCACACGTTTCGTGGCGCCATAGGGAGCCCCACCGAAGGCCCAAATGCAAGCATTCGCATGCGGTCACCGCACCCATGTGGGCACACCCCTCACACGTTTCGTGACCCCAAAGGGAGCTCCACCGAAGGCTCAAATGCCAGCGTTCGCATGCGGTCACCGCATCCGTTTTGGCACACCCCTCACACGCTTCGTGGCCCCAAAGGGATCCCCACCGAAGGCCCAAATGCCAGCGTTCGCATGCGGTCACCGCATCCATTTCGGCACACCCCTCACACGCTCCGTGGCCCCATAGGCAGCCCCACCGACGGCACCAGTACCACCACCCGCTTCGGTCAGCGCATCCACTTTGGGGCACAGCCCTCACAGCTTCTTGACCCAATAGGGAGCCCCACCGAAGGCACCAGTACCACCACCCGCATGCGGTCACCGCACCCACTTTGGGGCACACCCCTCACAGTTTCGTGACCCCAAAGGGAGCCCCACCGAAGGCCCAAATACAAGCGTTCGCATGCGGCCACCGCACCCATTTTGGCACACCCCTCACACGCTTCGTGGCCCCATAGGAAGCCCCACCGAAGGCCCACATGCAAGCGTTCGCATGCACCCATCGCACCCATTTCTGCACACCTCTCACACGTTTCGTGGCCCCATACGGGGATCCATCGAAGGCACCAGTACCACCGCCCGCATGCGTCACACTTTTCGCTGCCCCGTAGTGCGTTCCGCCTAAACCATCAGTGGAAGCGCCCACCTGGCACTCCCCCCACATCGGCACACCCTTCGCATGCTTCATGGCCCCATGTCGATATCTCCCGAAGGCAATACCCGCAACGACAGTACTCACAACTGCATATGGTTGGGTCCTTCGCCAGGATGATTCGACCCCGTAATTCCAGAATCGAACTTTTCAATTTCGCATTTTGGGATCAGTCTGCATCCTCGGAATTGGAAATTCTGCAATCCGGGAGTCCGAACTCAAAAATTGAGCACACCCAGTTCTGTTTATCTATCCTGTGTTGCGGTAATGCCGCCTGCGGCTAGTCGTCCAGCTCAGGTGACGAGAACGAATCGTGGATGGTAAATGTTTGACATGGAGGCCCGCGGTAGGAGGTGTTAGAAGGCGAAGAGCATATTCTTTTCGTGTGCGGCCTAGGCTTGGGGCGCATGGAGCGATCGCTTCTCGTGAGTTTTACTGCGGGTTCGAACCGCAGCGGTTTGGCTCGAGGCTGTTTTGACAGTTCTTGCCAAGCCTGCGCCGGCGGCGGCATCGTGCAGGATGTTTCACGGAGTTGTAGCACGCAGAGTTGGCAGATAGCGCAAGCGAGGCAAGCTCTCTGCACACGGGGAAACCGTAAAAGGAATGTCAGGGGGTTGCCGATCGCAGCAGTAAAGAGCGGCCCATGCCGCGCAGGAGCGAGCCCGAAGCAGGGGCGCGTCGTTGCCGCTGCATGCATTTGTCATCCTCCCGTGGCCCTGCTGCATATGTCCTCCCTTGGCCTTCCCGTTTGCCATCCCCACCAGCGTGACAGAACAGTTCGGTTTGCAGCGGTGTTGCACAAGGGGGCTGGCAGGAACAGAAGCGAGCTCTTTGGCAGGGGATGTCCGCTTGGTTGAAGCAGAAGGCGGCTCAGGCTTCGTGCGGCGGCACATTTTGCTTGCGATCGCTCAACTCCTGCTGTCAAACGTGTAGAGTGCAATGCAATGCGTCGTGCTTGTTCTACGTCGCCGAAGTTTGGGCCCAGTCATCTGTGCATCATCCCGTTCCTTGTTCCACCGTGTAAATCGGGCGTGCGCTGCATGCAGCCCGACGGACTAGAGCGTTGCTGCTTTACGCAAGAGTTTAGAATCATTATGTTCATGTCGGTCGTCGTTGCTATGTAGTTGAACCAGGTCATGAAGCGCCCATTCGTTCGGGAGCTGCCCTTTCTTAAGCGGCGAATGGTCCAGGGGAACAGACAATGACAGGAACATAAACAACACAGAGGTCCGCGCGGATTTCTCGGATCGGCGCTGGATCCCCTTCCTTGGCATGCTCCGCGCGCCAGGGGCGGCCCCAGAGGCGCCGCCAGGGGGTCCCAGCGCCGATCCGAGGAATCCGCGCGGACCTCAGAGTTTTCATGTTTACGTCATTGCTCGTTTCCCTGTGATAGTGCTTCTCTATTTGTGGGGCGGTCCCATCCCTCGGTAGAATCATGTTTCGCAGTCTGAGGATGGCCCTGGCCGCGTTGTAGAGGTTCCGACAGGGGCGGTGGTAATTCGGCACACTGTCGCGTTGCAATAGAAAGCTTATTCATTCGTAGTTTGCTACGTTTGCACCCGTGGGATATCAGCAGTGATTGGCATGTTCATGTTGCAGGAGTGATCCCATGTATTGCTATATATGGTTTCATGTTTCTCTCGTGCTGGTCCTTGCTTGCCGTGCCTTGGGGTAGATTGTTGTTCCCTTCTTCTGTTTTGGCTTCTCGCTGAGGGTGTTGCTGGTGTTCGTCGTTGCCTTTCCCTCCCCCTCGTGCCGCTTCAGCACGGCACGGACGGAAAGCCGGCAATGTTTAGGACGAGGGGTTGGGCTTCCCTTCGATTCGATTCCGACTTGGGTCGGTGCACCTCGGGGTTGGCGAGTTTGGAGAGCCCCGTGTGGCACGGCACGTTTTTGGTCGGCGGCGCCAGCGGTCGCGGGCGCGGGGCGCGGGTGCCTGGCGGGGCGCGCCGAGCGCGGAGCAGTGCGCGGAGACGGCGAGGAGAAGCGGACAGTGACTGCGAAGGAGGAGGGGAGGAGGCCCGACCGCCGAGAGGCGGCAGAGGCGAGGGGCGCACGGGTGGCCACAGGGCACCGCCGGGCGGTGCGCGGCCACGGGTGCGGGAGCAGCGCGCGGACCGCGCCGTCGAGGTGGGCCCAGCGGGCGCGCTCCACGACGCGCAGAGCGCCCACCCGCACGCCTCCGACACACACAACAAAACGCCTGCCTCGATGTGGTCTGTCGTGCATCCCCCGCGGCGGAGCCCGGCCAGTGGCGAGCAGCTCCCTTGTTGCGAGCAGCGGAGCGCGCTTCGTCTGCGGCGGCAGGCGGGCAGCGGGGCACGCGCGCGCACCGCCGGGCGCGTGAGGCGCGGCGCGGCGGCTGCGCGCCTCCGCGCCGCGGGGGCCTGCACGGGAGGCGGGGGGCCCCCGCCCTTCGGCGAGGCGCGGGGCTGCGGGCGGCCCGGGGGAGCGGTGCGCAGCTCCTCCTCCTCCTCCTCCTCCTCCTCCTCCTCCTCCTCCTCCTCCTCCTCCTCCTCCTCCTCCTCCTCCTCCTCCAGTGGCTGCTCACGCGTCGGCCCGGCGCTTCGGGTTGTCCGCCACGTGAGCGTTTCGCGCAGCGACGCGACGCCATGGTTCACGTCCGCGGGCGACTGGTGTGCCCCGTACCTCGGCGTGCGTCCCCCAGGGCGTCATCGACCCTCGGCCCAGGAGTGGTGCCGCGCATGGTCTTGTCAACCCTCAGGGGCCGAAGAACTGTGCACAGAACCGAGTTGGAGCGGGGCCTGCAGAGATTCCAGACATACTACGGTGCACGGGCGCCGCTCCCGTAGGCCAACAGCTCGCGCGCACCAACTCCTGTCGGCTTCCAGGTGGAAGGGCAATCTCGAAGCAATTACAGCTGAAGTCCTAGTCGATTCTGTCGAGCGAAGCACTGGCTCACCCCTCCTGAGAGCATTGGCTTCGTTCCAACATGCGGCAAGGACGCACGGATCGAGGAAACGTGCAAGAGATCGGCCACGCGCAGAGGGGGGTGTGGGGGAGGGTGCCAAGATTTCTTGGAAGCAGCCCCCTCCTCAGCAGCCTTCCCCCGTCTGGGGAGCCTCCCCCCCCCCTTGTGCGCGCCGCCGACCAACAGCGGCCGAGGTGGGTACCTGGCGGCCCTGTGCGTTTTTTTTTTTTTCTGTTGCTCGCCCTGGTGTGGCGCTGCGCCGCTCCCGCCTGCGCTCGCGCCAAACTTCAGGAGGGCGAGAAACACGCAGACACAATTCATCGTCGACCCCCAGAAAATACAGGGAACTATGGGCAAGTGGGGGGGGAAGACAAGAACACATAATATATATATATATAGTTGTATATCTATATATATATATATATATATATATATATGGGAAAACATGGGGAATCCTGCGATCTCTGTGCATTCACTTGCGTGCCCCGGGGCCCCTTCCAACACTGGTCGCTCGGGCCCCCGCGCCCCGCCCCGCGCCTCTGCCATGCCTGGAAGAGGCGGCCGCGCCCCGCGGTCGCGGAGGCGCCCTCGCCGGCGCCTCTCCGCGGCGCGCCCGAGGGGCGGCGGCGCCCGGGCGGCCGAGGCGCTGGATCAGAGCCCCGAATCATCAGGGGTACCTCGGGTCAGGGCTAACTCGGGTTCGTTTTTCGGGATTCCGAACCCGACTTACCCCGGACCCGAGTTACCCCGGATCACTCGGGCGTCCAGAGCCCCACATCATCAGGGGTAACTCGGGTCAGGGCTAATTCGGGTTCCTTTCTCGGGTTTCCGAACCCGACTTACCCCGGACCCGAGTTACCCCGGATAACTCGGGCGTCCAGAGCCCCACATCATCAGGGGTAACTCGGGTCAGGGCCAACTCGGGCTCCTTTCTCGGGAATCCAAACCCGAGCTACCCCGGACCCGAGTCACCCCGGATAACTCGGGCGCCCAACTGGAGTGAGGACCACCCGGGGCTCGCCGGGGAGGCCCCTGCCAGGAAGCGCCCTGCTCGCCTCGAGTCGGGCCTGTCCCCCCCTACAGGGGGGTTTTGGGCGAAGAATCAAAGACACTCAGAAACTATTCCAAACATGCCCAAAACTATTAGAAACATCGTCCCCTGACGATGTTTTTTTTTTTTAAATATATATATATATATATATATATATATAATGAATATGCCCCCTGTAGAAGGACAGGCCCGACTAAATGCTTGCCTCCAGGGTGCCATGGGTTTCTTCAGTTTCGATGCTTCTGCGATGGACAGCGTGACTTCCCAACGCCAACTCAAGGGACGTCCTGGGGTCTCAGGGTTGGGTCGAGCCCGTGCTGCAGGAGGGCCTCCAGTTTTCGGGCCGCTCCTTAGATCCAGTTCGTGGGAACTCCTAATTAGTGGCCGAGGCTCGCCGTGGCCAGAACAGCCATTTCGTTCCTTGTTATTCGGCGTTCCGTATGATAGCACGATGCCTATATGAAGGCGGTGGATCCTCCGGTCCTCGGGCGCCGGAACGGTCTGCGCAATGAGTGCGCGCTCGTGTGCCCCCGCTGGCCCGTCCGGCCACATTGCGCAACAACCACCTTGCCTGTCATTAAGTCGGGCCTGTCCCTCTACAGGCGGAAAATTCAAAAATAGTGAACACAATAGTATGGGGACGATTGTTTATCTATGTTTGAATCTGTTTTTTTTAATATTTTTGAAGTATTCTTAGTTTTCGCCCAAAGTCTTCTTGTAGGGGGACAGGCCCGACCTAAGCCTGGCACAGGAGGCCCCGTGGCGCACGCCGAGGGCCTCCTCGCCCACGTGGCCTGCGCCCGAGTCAGTGTGCACTCAGCCCAGGCGGCCAAGAACACAGAGGGGGAAGGGCGCAAAATAGCAGTCTCGACCCGGAGAGGGGCCATGCGCAGCGAGAGAAGCAGGAGGCCGAACCCTCCGCGCTCCCCCGCTTGCGGAAGCGCTTCAAAGAGCCCGCCTGGCGTCGGAGCGGACGCCAAGCACAATGCTCTGGCCAACTGCGGGGCCGGGGCTGCCGGCCACGACCATGTCAGCTGTTTTACCAGAGGCGTTCTGTGAAGTCGGCACGGACAGCGCGTGCTAACCAGCAGCATGCGGAATCTTTCTCTCAGGAGCGAAAGAAGGACGCACACGTACATGAATCCACGCTGGTTTCGAGAGTTCTCATTGCGCGAATGCTCGTATCACGCGGCGGGTCTCGCGGATCGAGGGGCCCTGTTCGTGTACATCGTTGGGCGCGTACGTCCTTTGTGGGCTCCCTACTCTCGGCGGCCGCGACAGCACGAAGCACTGCATCGGCTGCAGGCGGTCCGCACCCGGCGCGTCCCGTGCAGTGGCGCGACCAGCTTCACGGACCCCTCCGCGCGCCTCTCCGCCGGCTCCGCCACGGCTCGGGGCCCCGGCGCGCCCTCGCCCGGCGCCGCTGCGGAGGCTCTGTGTGCGATCACCGCGCCCGCCGCTGCGGAGACTCTGTGTGCGATCACCGCGCCCGCGTCGACGGAGGGGTGGCGGAGGGGAAGAGGAGGGGCAAGGTCCACGCCAACAGGGCAGGCGCGCTCTTGCGTCAGCGGGAGCCAAGTCCCACAACCCTTCCGCAGGACAGATCCCGCAGCACCGATGAACCTCTTCACCAATGCATGTAACACATTCGCCGGAAAGCGCCTGCCCTGAGCGGCGCCGCGGGGCAGCTAGAAAGGCTCAGACGCCAGCCCCTGGAGAACTTCAGAATTGCGTGTCCGTCTGGACGAGAACACCCGTCTGGACTTCAGAATTGCATGTCCATCTGGACGAGAATACCCAGCAAAGGCCGTTCGTCCTCCGCCACGCCGGTACAATACGAGGAGAAGGGAAGGCATCGCGTGATGCGGGGCCACAGCACAGGCCCAGCGGA